GGCCAAAGATAATGTTGCCAGGTTTGCAATGCACGAACCAAAGCATAAAGCTCTTTGTCATAAGTTGGATACCTCAAAGATGCACCAGTCAACTTCTCACTAAAGAACATCAAAGGTCTTTGATTTTGCATTAATACAGCACCTATCCCTACTCCACTAGCATCACATTCAATTTCAAAAGTAGACTCAAAATTAGGTAATGCAAGCAAGGGAGCAGAACTCAATTTTTCTTTCAAAGTATTAAAAGCAAGTTCTTGATCTTTTTCCCATATAAAAGATACATTTTTCTTAACAAGTTCATTCAAGGGTAAAGCAATTGTGCTAAAATTCTTAATGAACCTACGGTAGAAACTTGCAAGACCTTGAAAACTTCTTACCTCACTTACATTTTTAGATGTAGGCCAATCTTTTATAGCCTTCACTTTCTCCTCGTCAACCTCAACACCATTAGATGAAACTACAAACCCAAGAAAGTTAACTTTTTCCATGCAAAAGCTACATTTCTTTAAATTTACGTACAAACATTTGTTTCTTAAAGTAGTCAAAACATTGCGTACATGGGTAATATGATCATCTAAAGATTTAGAGTAAACAAGGATGTCATCAAAATAAACAACCACAAACTTACCTAAGTATTCTCGTAAGACATGGTTCATTAGTCTCATGAATGTACTAGGTGAATTAGTTAATCCAAAAGGCATAACCAACCATTCATAAAGACCATACTTGGTTTTAAAAGCTGTTTTCCACTCATCCTCAATATGCATGCGAATTTGATGATAATCCGATTTTAAATCAATCTTAGTAAAAAGACTACATCCATGCAATTCATCAAGCATATCATCTAATCTGGGAATTGAATGCCTATACTTTATAGTTATCTTGTTTATAGCCCTACAATCAACACACATACGCCAAGAACCATCTTTCTTAGGTACAAGAATAACTGGAACAGAACAAGAACTCAAACTTTCACGTATATACCCTTTAGCAAGGAGTTCACTTACTTGCCTTTGTATCTCTTCAGCCTCCTTTGGATTAGTTCTATAAGCTGGTCGGTTTGGAATGGGCGCGCCAGGAATGAAGTCAATCTTGTGTTCAATCCCTCTAAGTGGTGGCAAACTACTAGGCTTCTCCTCGGAAAATAAATCTTCAAACTCTTGCAAAAGCACAACAAAATCACTAGGCAAAGAAGGGTTAAGCATGTTAGTAAAGTACAAGATCCCTTGCACATAAGTACAAGAATAGTCTAGTTAGAGAGCAAAACATTCCTAGCCTCACTTGATCTAACATACAAGCTTACTGATTTGGCTTTTCTCTCTTTTTTTCTTTAGGCTGAGTGTTACTCTCTTGCTTTTCCCTCAAGCTCTTTTTTTCACTTGATTCTTTTTCAATTTCTGCTTTTGCATCAGCCTCTTGCCTTTTCTTTTCAAGTTTGCAATGATCAATAAATACATCTTTTGGAGACAATGGAATAAGAGTAGTTTTTCTACCGTTGTGAGTAAAAGAGTATCGATTTGCATACCCATCATACATTACCCGACGATCAAATTGCCAAGGCCTCCCCAGTAGTAAATCTCCAACATGCATGGATACAACATCACATAAAACATCATCAACATATTTTTCAATAGTAAAAGAAACAAGAGTTAGTTGAGTTACCCGTACTTCCCCACAATCATTCAACCATTGAAGCTTGTAGGGTCTTGGATGTGGTTGTGTCTTTAAATTAAGTCTTTTGACCAAAATGGAACTCACAACATTGGTGCAACTACCGCTATCAATTACAACACTACAAGGTATAGATTGAACAAGACACCGAGTTTGAAACAAGTTCTCCCTTTGGTCTAGGCCGTCCTCCTTAATGTGGGTGTTTAGAGCTCGTCGAGTAACCAAAGATATATGTGTAGGGTCCTCTTCACTAAACTCCTCACTCTCATCAGTTTCCTCATTTATGTCGTCATGTGCCTCATCATCAGTAACAATTTCTCCCTCCTTGATGGTCATAATTCTTGCATTTGGGCAATCTCTACTATAGTGTCCTACCCCTTGACATCTCCAACACTTTAAATCTCTATTTCGAACATTAGACTTTTCTACTTTTTCTTTCCCTCTTCTAGAACTCTCCCCTTTCTCAAATTTAGCTTGAGGCTTCTCATTAATCTCTTGATTTCTATGCTTATAATCAATGTTCTTACTATCCCTTTTCCATGTAGTAGTAGAATTGGGAAAAGTTTTAGAAGAATACCGTTGAGACCTTCGTTGGATTTGCCTCTTGATCTTAATTGCAATGTGCAACAACTTCTCAATATTAGAATAAGGCTGTAAATTAGTCTTGTCCGCAATCTTTGTGTTTAACCCATTAAGAAACTGCGCCATGAGAGCCTCCATGTCCTCATCGAGTTCAAGTCGATCCATCAATGTATCCATCTCCTTGTAATAATCCTCCACATATTTGCGTTCTTGTTTCAATGCTTGAAGCTTTTGTGCCATGTCCCGGTGAAAATATTTTTGTGGAACAAAACGCTTCCTCATGGACTCTTTGAACTCGACCCATGAATCAATTGGTGTTTCAAGATTTTTTCTCCTACTTGACATCAATTTATCCCACCAAATTTGAGCATATTGTTTGAATTGAGCAATGCATAACAGTACCTTCTTTTCATCACTAAAATTATGACAGTTGAACACCGACTCCACCATTTTCTCCCATTGAAGGTACTTCTCTGGATCGGTTTTACCATAAAACTTGGGAAGTTTTAATTTGATGCTCCCCACGTTACGATCAATTCTATCATCATAAGGAACTCGTTGTTGTAAATTATGATACCTTCTTCCATGGTCTCTCCCTTGCATCAAGCCATGACCAACCACATGTGGATTATCCTCGTGGTGATCAGAATTGTCGCCCTCATATGTATCGGTTGAGGGCGTAGGTAGTGGAATCCTCTATCGAGCTTGATTTTGAATCTCCAATCTACCTATTCGACCAATCAACTCTTCTATTCCTCGAATTAGTCTTTCCATGGTTCGTTGTTGGGCTTCTCTCAATCGTACATCAATAATGTCAGTATTGTTGTCTGGATTTTCCATGCTACAAAAGAAAGGTAAAAGAAAGAAGAAAAAAAAAAGGACCTCACAAGCGCTCCCTCACGTGTATTCACTCGTAAATGTAGTTCACTCGTGTTTAGCACTCAACACTCAAATCAATGTGTCACTCCCTTACAAACTCACCCTCACAATTGAGCACACACAAATCACACTCCAAAAAATAAATTGGGATGTGAGACAAGCTATGTTATAGAGCTAACTGCAATTCAAAGTGAATAGACAGCACACTCAACACATACACAAGGGTATTGAAGGAGCAATTCGAATAACGACAAAGAAACGAATTAAAGAAAGAAAATGATTAAGGACTAATTTAGAAGTAGTAACATATGAGAGTTACATATAATAATCAAGAGGAAAAAAAGAAAGACATTTAACATCAATATGCTTTCTTTCTTTCAATGGCTTTTTATTTTTTTATTTTTTTCTACTAATTGGCAAAATCTAATCAATTTACCAACAAGAAAATTGATTCAGAAGATCTTAAAGAAGAACAAAGTGTTGATAAGATCCAATCTAACACTTTAAAGAACATAAGATTTCTTTTTTTTGTTATATATTTTTGTGATAGAACATGAACATTCTACACAAACTGAGAAAAAAAAAATTACAAGAGAATTAAAAGAGATAAGCACAATGAAACATATATCTGATCTTGAGCCTGAAGCTTTGATACCAAATGATATGGAAAATCAACCCAAGGGAAAGTATGGAATAGATTACCTTGATGATCAAGATCAACAGTAAAGAAAACTCGTTTCTAAACTCGTGATTCGAATCACTTCACAAGAAGTTTGATCAATACCACTTGAATGACTCTACATGCAAGTTCTAAACACAAGAATTTGCAAAGAAAGTTTAGCTCTCAACAAACCTAAAATAGAAATTCTATTCTTAATTTCAAAATCTGATGTCTAATTAAAGAAAAGAAGGCTTTATATAGCCCTTAGAATCTTAATCTATGTGATATATAACTCCCAAATTAAATGAGCTAGTAAATGAAAAATGCCCATAACTTCCATATTAAAATGGCTAGTTAATGGTGGAATATAGTAACTTATGTGAGTTAGAATATAACCTTAACTTCTATATTTAAAACTAGCTTAAATATAACAAATATTTAAACTATAATTAAATAATGAAATTAATAAAATGTGTTTATTGACTCGTCCTTGGACTAGTTTCATAAATTCAGCGGAGTTCATTAAATGCAACTTAAAGTGCATTTAATTCATCTCTTTCTTGAAGCTCAACTTTGCACAATATACAAGGGAGGTCTCTAGTGTCTTCTATAATTTCCTTTGATGAGCTCACCATAGCTTGAATATAACTGTATAAGGTTTGTTGTAGCTTCTTAGCTCTCGTCCATGTAATTGGACCTTGAGGTATGGAAATTCCTTGATCGTGGTTCATATCACATCTACTTTCAGCATATCGGAAGGAGTAAAGTTCATCTCCTAAGATTACATTCCTGACTCCCTGTTTAGTTAAGTCTCTAGAATGGTAGGCATATTAAATCAACAACAAAACTCATTCTCACCCATGCAAATCAAAGGACAAGCCTTCACAACTATAAGTTCATAACTCACTTAGGGTTAAAATCGAGTCACATCTTATCATCCTGTGAAATATTCATCTTTTAATTAATAAATTATAAAGAGAAATTATATATTGTAGTCCAGTCTTACTTAAAATCATGGTATATCCCCATACACATGTCTCCACATGAACAATTTGGATTAAATGCCCAAGTTTTGGGCCCATGGCCCAATACAACATAATAATTATAAAAATAAGTCCTGGGGCTAAGCCATTTGAGCCAAACCGTTAGCCAGCAACCAACCTCCTTATTTTTTGCACTCACCACAACAAACCCTAAGCCAACTGCCGCCCTTCCTTCTTTCTTTGTCATCTTCTTCCTTATTCCGACCCCCACCCTCCTTTTTGTGTCATTTCCTTCCTTAAGCCGCCGCCACCCAACGTTAACGTCGTCCCCCGCTGACTATTTCCCACATTACCTCATGCCACTCTGCACATTAGAAAACTGCCACCCAGCATCCACATCGCCACCGCGAGTGAACATCATTGTCGTCACTAGAACCGACATTAAGAGGATTAAACGCAACAAAGATACAACGCGGTTTCCTCGCGGGATGGATAGGATTGAAACCAACCTCTACGTGGACAGTAGACTCGATTTAAGTGGAGTGAACCAATAACTATAGGAACGGTTAGGAAAGGAGCTCTCCAGGTAAGGGACCCTCCCGTTGAAACTAAACATTTTGTTTTTGAAAAAATGGTCAAACAAATTTGTCATATGGTTGTGTGTTGTGTAATCTGATTAGGTTGTGTGCGGCCTAATCTGATTAGGTTGTGTGCTGCCCGGGATGGATAGGATTGGAACCAATCTCTACATGGACAGTAGACTCGACTTAAGTGAACTGAACCAATAACTATAGGAACGGTTAGGAAAAGAGCTCTCCAGGTAAGGGACCCTCCTGTTGAAACTAAACATTTTGTTTTTGAAAAAAGGGTCAAACAGATTTGTCATATGGTTGTGCTGTGAAATTTGATTGTAATTTGATTGTTGTGTGCTGTGTAATTTGATTGTTGTGTGCTGTGTAATCTGATTAGGTTGTGTGCTGTGTAATCTGATTAGGTTGTGTGTTACGTAATCTGATTAGATTGTGTGCTGCGTAATCTGATTAGGTTGTGTGCTGCTCGGGATGGATAGGATTGGAACCAACCTCTACATGGACAATAGACTCGATTTAAGTGAAGTGAACCAATAATTGTAGGAACAGTTAGGAAAGGAGCTCTCCAGGTAAGGGACCCTCCTGTTGAAACTAAACATTTTGTTTTTGAAAAAAAGGTCAAAACAGATTTGTCATATGGTTGTGTGCTGGATAATCTGATTGTTGTGTGCTGCGTAATCTGATTAGGTTATGTGCTGCCTAATTTGATTAGGTTGTGTGCTGCCCGGGATGGATAGGATTGGAACAAACCTCTACGTGGACAGTAGACTCGATTTAAGTGGAGTGAACCAATAGCTGTAGGAACGGTTAGGAAAGGAGCTCTCCAAGTAAGGGACCCTCCTGTTGAAACTAAACATTTTGTTTTTGAAAAAATGGTCAAACAGATTTGTCATATGGTTGTGTGCTGTGTAATCTGATTGTTGTGTGCTGTGTAATCTGATTGTTATGTGTTGTGTAATCTGATTAGGTTGTGTGCTGCGTAATCTGATTAGGTTATGTGCTGCTCGGGATGGATAGGATTGGAACCAACCTCTACGTGGACAATAGACTCGATTTAAGTGAAGTGAACCAATAATTGTGGGAACGGTTAGGAAAGGAGATCTCCAGGTAAGGGACCCTCCTGTTGAAACTAAACATTTTGTTTTTGAAAAAAAGGTCAAAACAGATTTGTCATATGGTTGTGTGCTGTGTAATCTGATTATTGTGTGTTGTGTAATCTGATTGTTGTGTGCTGCGTAATCTGATTAGGTTGTGTGTTGCCCGGGATGGATAAGATTGGAACTAACCTCTACGTGGACAGTAGACTCGATTTAAGTGGAGTGAACCAATAACTGTAGGAACGGTTAGGAAAGGAGCTCTCTAGGTAAGGGACCCTCCTTAAGTGGAGTGAACCAATAACTGTAGGAACGGTTAGGAAAGGAGCTCTCTAGGTAAGGGACCCTCCTATTGAAACTAAACAATTTGTTTTTGAAAAAAGGGTCAAACAGATTTGTCATATGGTTGTGTGCTGTGTAATCTGATTGTTATGTGCTGTGTAATTTGATTGTTGTGTGTTGTGTAATCTGATTGTTGTGTGCTTCGTAATCTGATTAGGTTGTGTGCTGCCCGGGATGGATAGGATTGGAACTAACCTCTACGTAGACAGTAGACTCGATTTAAGTGGAGTGAACCAATAACTGTAGAAACGGTTAGGAAATGAGCTCTCCAGATAAGGGACCCTCTTGTTGAAACTAAACATTTTGTTTTTGAAAAAAGGGTCAAACAGATTTGTCATATGGTTGTGTGCTATGTAATCTGATTGTTATGTGCTGTGTAATCTGATTGTTGTGTGCTGCGTAATCTGATTAGGTTGTGTGTTGCCCGGGATGGATAGGATTGGAACTAACCTCTACGTGGACAGTAGACTCGATTTAAGTGGAGTGAACCAATAACTGTAGGAACGGTTAGGGAAGGAGCTCTCCAGGTAAGGGACCCTACTGTTGAAACTAAACATTTTGTTTTTGAAAAAAGAGTCAAAAAGATTTGTCATATGGTTGTGTGTTATGTAATCTGATTGTTATGTGCTGTGTAATCTGATTGTTGTGTGCTGCGTAATCTGATTAGGTTGTGTGTTGCCCGGGATGGATAAGATTGGAACTAACCTCTACGTGGACAGTAGACTCGATTTAAGTGGAGTGAACCAATAACTGTAGGAACGGTTAGGAAAGGAGCTCTCTAGGTAAGGGACCCTCCTATTGAAACTAAACAATTTGTTTTTGAAAAAAGGGTCAAACAGATTTGTCATATGGTTGTATACTGTGTAATCTGATTGTTGTGTACTGTGTAATCTGATTGTTATGTGTTGTGTAATCTGATTGTTGTGTGCTGTGTAATCTGATTATGTTGTGTGCTGCTTAATCTGATTAGGTTTTGTGCTGCTCGGGATGGATAGGATTGAAACCAACCTCTACGTGGACAATAGACTCGATTTAAGTGAAGTGAACCAATAATTGTAGGAACGGTTAAGAAAGGAGCTCTCCAGGTAAGGGACCCTCCTGTTGAAACTAAACATTTTGTTTTTGAAAAAAGGGTCAAAATAGATTTGTCATATGGTTGTGTGCTGTGTAATCTGATTGTTGTGTGCTGCGTAATCTGATTAGGTTGTGTGCTGCTCGGGATGGATAGGATTGGAACTAACCTCTACGTGGACAGTAGACTCGATTTAAGTGGAGTGAACCAATAACTGTAGGAACGGTTAGGAAAGGAGCTCTCCAAGTAAGGGACCCTCCTGTTGAAACTAAACATTTTGTTTTTGAAAAAAACAGATTTGTCATATGATTGTGTGCTGTGTAATCTGATTAGGTTGTGTGTTGCGTAATCTGATTAGGTTGTGTGCGGCCTAATTTGATTAGGTTGTGTGCTGCCCGGGATGGATAGGATTGGAACTAACCTCTACGTGGACAGTAGACTCGATTTAAGTGAAGTGAACCAATAACTGTAGGAACGTTTAAGAAATGAGCTCTTCAGGTAAGGGACCCTCCTATTGAAACTAAACATTTTGTTTTTGAAAAAAGGATCAAACAGATTTGTCATATGGTTGTGTGATGTGTAATCTGATTGTTATGTGTTGTGTAATCTGATTAGGTTGTGTGTTGCGTAATCTTATTTGGTTTTGTGTTGCCTAATCTGATTAGGTTGTGTGGTGTAATTGGTTGGTGGGCAATAAATATTGGGTAATTGATGACCGTTAAATACTGCATAAATTGTTAATTGTGTTGAGTTGTATTTGGTGATTGGGTTTGATGTGAGTTGTATGACACAATATATGTGAGGACCTATTGCATGCATATTGTGTTTGTTGGTGGCGATGGTTAAGGGACTTGTGGTAATAGTTACATGTGTGTTTCGAGTAACTAGCCACTAATAGTCACCTTCGGTGATAATTGTAGAAAATGACTATTGAGGCAAGGGTTACACGCTGTGTTTTAGGTAACCACTCGTCGATAGTCATTTTGAGGAAATAAGGAGGGATGTTGATTTCCTCGTGATAATGGTTACATGCTGTGTGTTTCGGGTAACCAGCTAGGGATAATCATTTTAAGGAGTAAAGGCGGGCGTTGATTTTCTTGTGGCAATAATCACCTATTGCGTGTTTCGGGTGATTAATCACTAGGGTCCATCAATTTTGGTGGATCACCTTGTGATGATTTATGTATTTGACCCTAGTAGGGGAGTTCATTATTGAGTATTTTTAATACTCACCCTATTTTTAAAATGGTTTTCAGGCGAAGGTGTGGCACGGAGATAACAAGTTGGATGTTAAAGTCAGTCATGGGGCAACTCAATGATTTTATGTTTTTTGGAGTTTTATTTTATTGGATATATGTTTCGCACTTTTGTTTATTAATTTAAATTATGTTTGTGGATGCCTAGTTTATAGGACTAGGCAGTCATGCCAGATTTCCTTTTAGGTTGCATATTTTTAACCTTTTAAAGGGTACCCCGCACTTGATTTTAATAAATGATCATTTTTGCATAGTTTTTATTAATTTTTAAATAAAGTAAATTATTTTTGGTAATGGCCTTGACCACTACTTAAAGGATAAGTCGGGTCGTTACAAAATCATTTATAATAATATAAGGTGGGTCGTGTAACGACACTATTTTTATATTAAAATAAGGTTACCACTGCATGCATGACGTGTTTATTATGCATAGAAAAATTCATTTAAAACATTTCATAGATGATGTCATGGACTTAAACATGGATAAAATTCATTTCAATTAAAAGTAAACATCAATGAAATAACAGAAAATGAAGTAACAATAAAATTTAATCATACATTTGTACAATAGTATCTTAACTTTACCTGAAAAAATAAGAGGAGTATATTTTAAGGAATATTAAGTAAGTAATCCCATTGTTGGGGTCGAAAAATGCATACACAACCAATTATGGTGGGACATATTCTTTCATAAAAACATTTTATGACTTTGAACTCTACTTTCCTTGACTAAAATTGGATGTGTAGCACTTCTCTATACACAGTCCACGTATGCGCACATAAACCCACCAAGCAAGGGTAGTATATACCCTCTGGGTTTGCCCTTCATCTAGCACACACTCACCTGCCGAAGTGACCCACTCACCTTCATCTAACACACCCACCTGTCATGTACGCTGTAGTTACTTAGATATCGTAATGTATGTATATGTACTCATCATTACAAGGAAGTATCCTGATGCACGTAACACACAAAAATGTCTGAGAACCCCATATCTTTAAATCATGTCACAAACGTAAGATGCAAATCGTACATTCATTTTTCATTCATGAATACATACTTGACATAACAATATTTCATAATCCTAAAGTAATTGTGCTAACATAGTGTGCATGACATATCATAACATAACACATCATCACATAGTCATAGCATAACGTAGCTTAATGTAAGTCAACACATCATCACATAGTTATAGCATAACATAAATCATAACACTATCATTTCATAGTCATAACATAATCTAGCCTAAGTCATAGCATCACATAACATAATACATGACATAACAGTCATATAATACAACACATGAACGACCACAAAGCATGCGTCGTTCATATTTCTTTCAATTCATCTAACCAAACCAATAAGAGAGTAACTTACCTGGTTGGCCTAGGTAGGACTTACTAATTATTCTTGGTACTTGCCTGAGCGTTCTCTTCAAACTTACCTGGTTGGCCTAGATAGGACTTACTACCTTCACGTATCGTAACGCATATAAACGTCATCTTCATCATCCATTCCATAGCTCATATGCCATTGCCAATACCTTTTTCTCCACGTTCATGTTTCTAAAGCAACCTCTAATTCCTAGGAACGATACTCGAGCCTCCTGAACTAAGTGTCATACATGAATCAAAAGAAGGTTAAATTCGATCCGCTAGCAAGAATATGTTCGAAGAGTCATTGAAGAAGAAGAATCTAAGAAGATATAGGACATAACTAGGGGAATAGAGAGGAAAACTTCTTACGATAAATGGGGTCGTGAGGGGGTCGATTGGGGGGTGAGAAATTAGGTGGAAAGCGGGTAGAAGTTTTTTTTAGTTGTTACGTGTCGTATCAATAGTATTATCCAAATATGACCCAAACCTTATCGGGTAACTAGCACCACCATGCTCTTGCCTCTCAAGATGAGTTCAAAGTTGGCAAACTTTCTAACCATCCTTACTTGACAATCTCATCTATAATATAAACTACTAATCATGGGTAATGGTCTAACATGACTTATGTAACACTCGAGTTCCAACGAAGATTAGTTTCGTGATTTTTCCTTTTAAGCTTAACATTTTACATTGTAACGAGGGAAAGAGGTTGAATTTTAAGTTGAGGTAGAATAGAAAAATGCTTAGAAAATACTAAAAACTTAAAAGAAAAATATAAAAGAAAATAGTGAAAAGAAAAAAAAAAAAGAAGGTCAATAATCGAGGGACAAAATTGTGATGAAACCTGGCCTAATCAAGGGTATGGATTAACCCTGCTAATGATGAAGAAATGCTCTCTTGCCGTGAGAGAACTCAAATCCA